GACCTCCGTGACATGCACGCTCTGCTGTCAGAGCTGGGCGAGCGAGGTCAGGGAACGGGAAGGAGGGAGAGACAGAGAGATGAGATAGATCAAGTTGGATGATTCCGTCCCTGTCTGTTCATCGCTACAGAAATCGAGAGCTGCTGCCGCCTGTCGATCGAGGACCGTCTTGAGAAGACGGACGAGTGGACGGAGCGCGGTGAGAAAGGCGACTACTTATCAGTACACACGGAGAGACACGGAGAGAGACAGAGACTTGAAGGACGCACGAAGTTGTTTTCCTTGTTCCTGCCTGTTCATCGCAGCACTCACCACGCACAGCCTCGAGCTGTGGATCGACGAGGGGATCGACGACGACGCCAGAGGTGATGGCATGACAGATGAACAGTGATGGGCTGAGTAGGGCAAGGAACAATGCATCCAATCATGTGGCCAATAATGTGGTGTCTTCTTTGCCTGCAGCTTCACAGCACCCGCCCAAGGCCACCCCCACGCCGGCACGACTTCTGCCCCCGCACCGCCGCTCGAAGGAGGACGACGACATCACCTACAAGACATACCGCCGCGAGGAAGGGAATGGAGGCAGAGAGAGAGAGAGAGAGAGAGGGAAAGATGAAATAGACTTGGATGGATGGTTCTGTCTTTCTTCATTCCTACAGACATCGAGAACGGCTTCGCCCAGTGGATCGATGTTATGCCGGAGGAGACGGAGGGGTGGGTGCGGCGAGGTAAGAGGGACGGAAATCTGTTTGCACACACGAGGAGAGACACAGACTTGGATGATGGACGGGCGCACAAAGACGTCTTCTTTGTTTCTGCCTGTTCGATACAGACATGCTGAGGAGCATCGGGGCGTGGATCGATGAGGGGGTCGACGAGGAGGAAGGTAAGGAAGGAGAGTGACACTCACTGAGTCACTGCCGCCCGTCTTCCTTGTTTCTGCCTGTTCGTTACAGCGCTCACCAGCAGCATCGGGCCGTGGCTGGAATCCGATTCGCCGCTCGACGAGGAGGAGGGTGAGGAGAGTGACACTCGCTGGCGGTGCGTGTAGTAGTTCACCGCTGTATGTATGTGTTGATTGACTGTGTCTGTGCTGTGCTGTATGCAGAGCCTGTCAAGCCCCCACCCAAGAGCAGCCCCACGCCAGCCAGAGTGCTGTCCCCCCTCCGACGCACCAAGGAGGACGAAGGCATCACCTACACGACCTATCCCCAGGAGATCAAGACATGGTGGAATCGACTGCGGCGGGCGTTTCGGGTGGGGTGCGCCTCATGCGGCGGAAGAAAGCCGCCCCGCCCTCAACTCCTCACCGCCAAGGTGCGCCGGCAAGTCCATACAACGGAGCGGTGCCCGGGTCTTCTGAAGACTCCATGGTGATGGGCGCGGGAGATTGAGGGAGGGAGGGAGGGAGGGAGGGGAGGGAGGGGAGGGAGGGGGGTCCAGTGGATTCATTGTTGCCTACATTTTATATTGTTGTCCGTGTCTCTTCTGAGCCTGTCTGTGTGTGGAAACACAAGACAAACGATCGACATATACAGTCAATAGTCAACACATAGGCAGAGACAGGTGCTATCGGCCACTGCTCACTCTGTACCTCCGGGATAAGCGTGAAAAAGAGCTGTGCTGGCATCCTCGTTTACGCCAGCTGGGCCAACGGCCATGCGCATCTTGCTGGCTCTCTTCTATGTGGCCATGATGCACCACAGCGGCGTGCTGTCGGCGAGGCGAGGGATGGGTGGGGCTGTCAGGGGTCTCGTGCTGCCCAAGACAGTCAAAGTGTGGGGCATTGTAGTGCTCTCCAGGCTTGTGTGTGAGGCGGCCATTGCGTGGGGGATGGAGGGGGGAATGCGGGCGGCACTGCTCGTCAGAAGTGATGCAGAGTTGGTGGCGCATCTGTCACCACCATGTGGGGTGTGGCCTTGCGTGAGGCGATGATGGCTGCATGTGTGAGCGGTGTTGTGTTCGTGCTGACCTATAGGGATGTATACCGGTCTGTGAGGGAGGTGAAAGACAACATCGAGAGGGACAGGACGGCGGCAATGAAAAAACAAACGTGATCACTGGCAGCAATTCATGACTCAGTCATTGCTGCGAGCTCGTGGGGGCGCTGGGGGCGAGGAGACTGCGAAAGAGGTGAGCCACCAGTCCATCCGACGCCACGACAGTGGATCCCTCCATCTATCCAGTCATCTCCTCC